TCACATGTATTAAGTCATTACTTATTATGCTGCTGTATTTTCAGTATAAGACTCTGAGTGTACAATAGAATTGTCCAACACCTCGAATAAATGATTCCTTGAACCTGGAGAGTTCCCTTCCCTTTTAAATCTGTAATTTTCTCCATATTTTTTCCAAGCTCTCGATAATCAGAGCGAATCGCAGTTTTTCCTAAAATTAAAGGATTCGAGAGTTGGAATGCTAATGAAGGTTCAAAACTCAAGAGAGGCTATAAATTAATCAAGGCACAGCTCAAAAGATGAATAAATGGGAAAAGTTACTCCTTCTAAAATCCAGACCCAACTGCGACACAAACTGTGTCCTATCTCAGAACGAAAGAGCCCAAAAAACATACCTCTGGTGCCAAGGTACACGCCTGATTAACTTTTCAAATAAAACAGCCTATAATTTTCTGCCTTTTGTAATTGCTGGTTGGTTTACTTGAGAAACCAAGAATGTATTAACTTAGATTTTGAGAAGTTATTTACAAGAAAGAAATAAAAGTGAGAAAATAACACAGTGCTCTTTATGGAAACGTTGGCTTGTTTCTATGAAACATATGCAAATATTTTCCCCATTAGTCAGTGCAGTATCTTCTACGAAGATAATCCCCCCCCCCTTCCCAACCCAAAGATAACATTTGCTTCTAACTTTAAGGAAATTGTTGGTTGGAGGGCAGTTCTCTTCTTCTGTTTTTAGGCTGTTAAAAATTATGCTAACCCTTGACACCGATCACCAGAACTCAAATACTTCATCTTTTTTGACATAGGGTGACATGGTCGTATTATCGGTTGGGATGTAACGTTTTCCTATCAATTTCGAAATCATGATGATTTATAAGTCTTTACAATTTACATTCATAGTTAATTATCAAATAATCTAAATAAATTCGTTAAATAGAACGATCTCTCTACAACAAGAGAGACTAATTTTGGGAAAGAGCAACTGCACAAGGTTAATAAACGTATAATTTAAAACGATGGGTGGCGTTTAAATGCACAGCAACTGTGTAATGTAATTTTTTTCCTACAGAATTAGATTACTATATCTTTTTACTCAAGTCACAGGCAAACTGAACAATTTAAGCCTTCCCTATAACAAAGTCTTTCTCTTGTTATTCTAGTAAAACTGTATATTCACAAGAGAGAATGAGCTAGATCATTCTCTCTTGAGAATGATCTCTCTCAGATCACTGAATTAAGATCTTTTCTCTGTTCGGTTTTCATTGTGCAAGTGCATTCTCCTGTTCTGATAGGGTCGTTTCATTCGAGGCAGAGAAGTCGGAGTTGGAATTTTTGAAAACGTGGTCTTATTTGGAAATCATTGACCTCAGACCAGACCGCGGCATGGGCTCCTTACCAAGGATAATCCATCTGAGGGGGGTGGGGCAGAGTTGACTCCACAAGACGAGGTTTACACAGTATTAGAATACTTTGTAATTCCAATAAGTTACTAAAACTTTCATCAAGTTGCCGCTCATCAAAAGTTGCTCCAAATAGCCGAGAAAACAGCAGGGAATAGGAGATCTTAAAGGGCAGGAAGCGGGAGAAATAGAAGGAAACTACGCAGCGGCAGCACGTAATATTTTGCAATCTAAAAAGTGCTTAAGGGAGGAAGAAAAGAAACAAGGAAGCGAGAGCGGGAGATGCAAGGTACGGGCGCTGGGAGGTACGGGAGGAACGAGTTACGGTTAGAGTTAGGTATAAGAGCCGAAGCCCTGCCCCCTCCCCCCGGCCTTGATGGTCTTAAATGATCTATTTAGAATACTTGCACGCGATTATGTTCAGATTTCCTTGAGCAAAATTATGTAAAAGGTATTGCTTTGAAGCATAAAGGACCTTGAGTACATTTCATATTTTCCAAAGGCTTTGTGCCGAAAAGCACGCTCAAACACCCGAATGACTTTACCATATTTTTTCAACCAAAGAGAATGTTACGTCTTACACTTTATTGGATGGCACACTTGTTATGTTCAGTAATGATAATGGCGGGTTACCAAGGTCAGGAGGTTTCAATTGGCCTCTCCGTGGTACAAAATATAAATATACCGTGTGGGAGGGAGGGGCCCGAGGGGCTGCATTTGGAGGTCTTTTTATTTGGAAAATGGTCAAAATTGCTGCAACGTAAAGGCGTGAAAAATAGAGAATTGTTGCATGCACCTGACGGACTCGTACCCAACATTAATCAATCTAGCAGGGGAAGATTAAGTCCATATTGACGTCTTTAGTATTTGATATAAGATAAGGTTAGTTTTATATTTTTTCACACCAGAGAAACACGATAAGACTACCAGAAGTCTCTCTTTTTTCCTAAGTTCGTCGAGCGAAACGCTCGAGACACGAAAATGACCACGCGCATGCCTGAAGGCGCTCGATGGGAGAGGCTCTTTTCTCTTCTCGGGATGCAACCTCGTTTCTCGTTCCTCCTTTTAGTGGCCAACAGCCTGTTAAGGGGTAATCAACTGATCACGATTTCCACCACGTTGGGTTTTTTGAGGTTTGGTGCACTAAAGATCTAAGGTCAAGATAATCTTTTGCTCAATTTCGTGTTAATTTATTGTAAGCAATCATCTATAAGCTAAGACCTTTTTTGCTGTTAGGAGGCAGTGTTGACCGAGAATATCCAAAGACAATATGACAAGTGGGAAACAATCTCCTCTGGAAAACCATCGCCGCAACACGACGTACTTAATATCTTATCATGCGTCACTGATGCGTTCTGCAGCTTAAAAGACGGCACAAAGATCTGAACGATCTTAAGCCCTCACTTGCATGTAAAATTTTTGACTCAATGATTTCACGAATTTTAGCCTACAACAGTGAAGTTTGGGGTGCTTTTGTTAAATCAGATTTTAAGTCCTGGAACACTTCTGCAAGAAAACCCATTTACAACTCTGTAAACGCTCTGATTTACAAGTACAAAACAAGGCATCAAACGTTGCATGTAGAGCTGCACTCGGTAAATTCCCCAAGATCATATTAATATATTGAATAAGAAGATTCTAAATTACTTAAGCTATTTGAAAGACAAAGATGTAGATTTTGTAGTTAAGCAAGCCTTACAAATTTCAGTTTACCTTTATTATAGCAAAAAGAAAAACTTTTAATCTAATCTAATGAAGATGGTTGACTACTACGATCTAAACTGTGACTTTTCTTGTAATTCATTGAATGACTCTAAAGTTAAACGTAATTCGGCGTGATGACACACTTTTATAAAATATTTACATTATATATAGTAAGGTAGGAATACACTAATAAAGGAGAAGAAGTAGGAGAAAAAAAGAAAATTAATGGCTTGGGTAGAAGTGTACGGTGGTCAGAGGAGCTTAGCTTTCGAGCTAACCACCTCTATATTATGAGTGGAAATACATAATAAATGTGCGCTTGGTGCCATGGCAACTATGGACGATTATGCCAGCAGTCAGGTTATGTGAGACAGTCATATTACAATTGTTACCTTTGAGAGTTTACTAGAATTCGCTTATATTCTTTTTTAAACTTTAGTGGTAGCTAAGTGTTTTTATCATAGTAGGAATCTCTTCCCAAGTTTTGGTTTTAATTCGACCTTACACGTGGTACATAAAAGTTAAGATTTGAGGCATATCTGGTATTGCGTGAGTGAATATCAGACACCTTTACGAGGTAGTTTTGAAACAGTTCAGGTACAGCAGGGGGTGTCCCAACTTAATGTGACGAGGATTGCAAGGCACATTAGTTGGGACAGTAGGAGTATTTTCTGCCCCCTCAATGTTGGTTTTTGTGAGTTTTCATGTCAGAAGCAAAAAAATCAACACGGGGGAGAAGGGGTTCAACTTTTTGTCGGAATATGGGTACAGCAAGGGGTGTCCCAGCTGAGTGTGACGAGGATTGCAGGTAGGTGAGATTGTAGAAGGCCTAAATGTAATAACATTTTGTCCTAAATGTACTAAAGTCCTAAATGTAATAACATTTTGTCCTAAATGTAATAACAATTTGCCCTAAATGTAATAAACTTTTAAGCTGCCAATTACAGTAATTACTCGAATAAGCCCCGCCCTCAAATAAGCGCCGCATTGGGGGGTGGGGAGTTAATTAGCGCCGCGGCGCTTATTCGAGTAAATACGGTACTAAGCGGTATTGCTATGGTATTAGGCTCCGCTCTCAAATAAGCGCCGCATTTATCGAGAAAAAAAGTTAATAATCGCCGCGGCGCTGTTGTCCAATCCCCCTTGGGATCTGTGGTCTTAAAAATAACTCGAGACGAATTACCTATGGAATAGGGTGTGTACGGAGGATGCCTTCTCTGTCCCCTTTATCCTCTCTTGTTATCTGGTGAATGGATCAAAGAGCTGACCGTGTAAGAAAAATGAGAACAGGAGCTTGGCGTGAAAGTTGGAGCGAAAAAAAAACGACGACTTATTAGCGAGCACTTCTCGGTTGCTAAACGGTACTGAAATGGGGAGCTTTTGACCAAAACTCTCAGGCATACAATTAGCTGTCCTCACTATCACAAGAGTAAACATAATAAAATGTTCCCTCCGCGATCACTAATCTTATGAGAGTTGCCTCAAACTTCGAAAGCAACCTAAGTTAATTCTCTGCTTTTAGTCTACTGGCGAGAAAGGCTGAGGTTTGATCATATAGTTTCAGGTCAGGTAAAAACCTCCCTATTATCAAACCTTAAGAAAAACTGCTCTGAATTAGAAATAATTAAAAAAGCTCAAACAGCAAACGCTTCTTTTTAGTTATACACTTTAATCAACGTCTTAATCATATGTTAATAGATCGTGCTGAAATCCCGGACTTGTGAGTTATAGTTTTTAACAATCTGAAGCACTACTGTCTAAAACTATTATAAAAATCCTCAACAGACTACCCAACCACGTAGGGGTCGAAATCACTCACTCTCTTTCAAAGTCTTTTATCTATTTTTACTTTCTGTAGTATAAGAACTCATAATAACTCATGATCTCATGAGTCACTTTAATCTAAAGTCACTTTCAAGCTTGAGCTTTAGGAACTTCTTCAACAAATATACGAGACACTGAATTCCATCCTGTTGCACCATCAGCGTTTCCATGTGAAGCGCAGTTGCCGATCCAGAATCCCACGCGCACCTTTCCTTTATGGATGTTACTACAGTGCCCCTCAATATGGCGGACGCGATGGAGATCTTTATTACTGCCTGTCTGCATGTAGACAATTCCGTCAATGGGCAGAGGAGCAGAACACTCAGCGCCATTGAAAGTGAAGTACCAACGTTTGCAGCACCTATTGCAGTTGTGAATTCTCAATGCACCCGTCCAGTAAACATGAAGGGCAGTATCAGAAAAGTTTTTGGTGAAAACACAGTCCTGCAAAAAATTTGACAGAAAATCTATTAATGAAGAGGCTCGGCAACACGTTGTTCCATGTTCCATGACATCCAAACCCTAGATCTAGCTTAGATCTAATAGCAACTGCCTAGTAGTTGTGGTCGTTGTGGATAGACAAATAAATCAGTTGATAAATGAAGAGGCAAGGCTGACTCCACAGCTGGGAGGTTGAATTTATCCTTTTATGGAAAAAGGGACTAATGTAATCCAGTAGCGCTGTAGTCAGGCTTGCTTTATGCATTAAATTTTTTTAATTTGCTATACAAGATTGTACTGGCTAGGCATAGGTCCACCATGATCAAGCACCCTTAGGTTTTAAACTTGGCCCCGTCAACGCAGCTCGTAGAAACGGTGACCCCGTCAATGGCTTGTCCTCCTCTCCAACACTCCAAACCCTTCATCCAGCGTTAGAGACCGTTTTCAGCTAGATCTTTGACGTTCCAGATGTCACGCGTATTGGTTGTTGGAAATCGTATGTGCCGACCCATTCGAAACCTTAACATTCCCCGTTAAACCCAGGGCATTTGACCATCCCTTGTGCCCAGGGATGGTGAATTTGATCCGCAAGCCTCAAGTTAAATTCTTTTTAAGATCCGGTGTCTGACAACGTAGTTCGGTAGATGCGATCTTTCTCATAATTAGATTGAAGACTTTAAAGTTTAAGACACATCTTTTGTAAACGAATGGCTTGTTCGATAAGGACTTCAAAAGCTACATGTATCCAGTTTTGTTACCATGACCTCAATTTCCCTCCCTTTTTTAATACAAAGTATATTATCTCTGGGAGATGTAAGCCCGACTTACTTTAAGACGTCCGAAACATTTACTTTTCATTAATCCATACACCGTATATTTCCAAAACATTTCCTCTTCGGGAGAGGCATTTGACCACTACCATGGGGTAATTTGTAAGGAGAATTTCTCTCTCATCCGCAAAGGCCTCTTTCTATCGTAGGGAAGCTGGGGAGAGAGAAAAAGGAAGCGCGGGTGGGACAATCGGATACCCAGCGAGAGCCTCTGCTGAGGAGAAAAAAAGAATCTAACTAGGCATGCCTTAAAAAGTTCAAATGCCAAAGGGGTTACTTTGGGATGTTAAAGTTTCGAATTGATCGACGCATAAGTTTTCAGAGTCAACTGAGAGATGAAACGCCCTTGTTAGTAGCAGAGACTAGGCTGAGAGTCTTACCATGAGATACAGGGCAGAGAAACCGTTACACGTTTACCCTTTATTTTTTGTAGAACCAAAGCAAGAAATCATATTCAAGAAGGTCAAGACATTTGTTCAGAGCTGTTCAGTAATCACACCCACAAACACGCTTCTGTTATGCCGAAGTCCCAAAGCTTTACCCGAAACACTGACGAGAATCGTGACATTCTTAAAAACTTTACAAGCGTAGTTTTTCGCTAAATTGAAGTTCGCTTGAAGTTGTTCATATCACAGCCCTAGATTTACTTGCAATATAGCCTGTTCCAGGTGTTCAGATTGTGGGGACCGCCGCGCAAGAGAAGTGAGCAGGAAAAACAGCGATGGGGTGGGGTAGGGGGTGAGAGAGAAGGAGAGAATCCTTCTCTTCCTGCATATCTTTCCCGATCTCTTACTTCGCGCCGCACTTCACTATCTGAACGCCTGATCTGAAAAGGCTATTTGCTGTATGAATAATAGCACAATTAACTGCCCACAAAGTGACCAACTGCTCCTTGACCAGACACTGGCTTTTAACGTGTAAGCCCAAGTACCTCTTTGTTTGCAAAGCCAGCCCGCCGCAGTTGCTGAACAGCTATATACCGTAGAACTAATAAGTAACCCTCTTCGGACAATGGACAGGAGGCCACTTAGTAAAGTTTCCGAAGTGATTTACTGACAATTTTGGCTACGGTAGGCTAAATATAAAATCTGCTTGAACGTTAAATAGTTTATTCTGCCTGTCAGCAATGCTCGCAAAAATTGGTTCACTTTGCTAATTCTTCTCAGACACCTAAATTCTGATTGTCGCCATAGTTTCAGCAATTACATCTTATTTTACGGTGAGGAGTAGTTAACCCTACACCCAACCCCAAGGGGCGGGGGCGCGGGGGCAGCAAACTGGAGAAAAACAACCGTGCAGACCGAAATACGACCTGAAGAAGAACCTTAGAGGCGAGCAATTAGGCCCGGACAGCGTTGGATCTTTGCAGTCTTATGCCCCACATAAGTAAGTAGCTAAATTGTACTGGATACCGGGAAAAAAATTTCAGGCCTTCGGGCATTTTGAATTTTAAAAATATGGCAGGAAAAAAGACATATATAGCCCTCATTGAAGCATGGCGAAATTGTATCTTATTGCATAGCATGGGTGGCAGGCGTTCGTAAGGGAAGGGGAAGGGAATTTGGGCGCGAGACCGTGCGCAAGAAAGGCTTTCGCGCTTCTCGCGCGCCCGAAATCTCGTTCCCTCCTTTCAAACGTGTGCCACGCACGCTATTTTTATGATCGCTCCAATTAGTTGAAATGGTTTTTTTTAAATTATTATTCCTATTTTAATCTCATTTCGCAATAACTATTTTCATTTTCACTTTTTTTTTCAAGTTTTAATAATGACCAATAGTTAATACCATTGACAATACTGGAAAAATGCCTTGTGCGCTCGAAAATCTGCAGACAGAATTAATACAAACCTATGTATGTAACTAGGGCGCTATATAGAGGATGTCGCTTTATAAGAGTGCATGCCAGAAGCCTTATGGATGTTCTTTGGTATCTGCATTGAGCAAACAAAAGGCCTTTTGGAAAATGGCTGCTACATGCTCTATATGGTGTGTGAATTTGATAATTGTATGCTGATCAATCGCAAATGCACGACTCACCTTGATCAGACCACTGTCCTTCGGATCATCCAAGTTTTTCCAGGCACATTCTTTCCAATTCTTAAACAGCATCGGGCCAAGTTCCCATTTTTGACCGGGAGGACCTTGGGCTCCAGTTTCTCCTTTAGCCCCTTCTTCTCCCTTTACACCAGCAAGTCCCTTATCACCAGGAGGTCCCTGAGGTCCAGTCTTTCCCTGCAATCCTTGATCACCTTTTGCTCCATCACGTCCGTCACGTCCGTCGCGGCCAGGTGCCCCGGGAGTACCATGCTTGCCGTGCATGCCGGGAATGCCACAACAACCATAACAAAACGATGAAGATTGCTAGTTTCAAACAAGAAAATATTAAAAAATAAAAATATATGTTATCCTTCGACTGATTGATCCTGATTGTATTCAGGATTGGTTCGCAAAAAGCTGAAAAGCAAAAAAGGCCGGTATATGTACTTTTAGTAGAAACAGTTCGAGCTTACCTAATCTCAAAAACATGCTTGTCCAACGAGTTAATTTTTAACTGAAACTTTGAATTTCCTAAGGCCTCAGATTCAGTAAAGGCGGCATTCTTTCATTCTCATGTCCTGGCTTTTCCTGCCTGCTTCATAAATCAGGGCCCGTGCAGGGGGAGGGGCTCGGGGGGGCCAGGGCCCCCCCCACTTTTTCAAAATTAAGGACAGTGGAGCCTCGATATAACGAAGGGCCAAGGGACTGACAAAATATGTTATATCAAAATATGTAACGAGGTTTATTTCACTTATATTGAGGTTCTTTTTCATATTGCCTTAAATTTTACTATTACTGGAGTCAAAAAAAATAGTTCGTTAGACCGAGGACTTCGTTATGGAGGTTCCACTGTAATATACATTTTCACATAAATAGTATCTTTGTTGGAATAAGCGTCCGTTTCGATCCCATCCGTCTGATGTCACGGTAGTAAGCCTCGAAACGCCTGTGTTCACAAAACTGTACTTAGTCTTAGACTTCTGCGTTTATGTAGCATTTGCAACGATGCGGAGTAGAGTCCTTTTTGATGAAGGTTCTCGATTAAGTCTGAAGACTACTCACGAACTAAGGTTTCTTAAAACGAATTATGTAGGCTGATGATGTGGTCTCTGACGCATTTCGATGACATACTAAACAAAATGAAGGGGTTACAGGAACCTACAGTGCAAACTTCTACTGGTGGATCCTGCATGTGCAATCAGCCTCAGCGGGAGAAAGGTACTTTTCAGGGGCTTGAAATTTATAAACATGACTCCGCCCAGCAATGACTAAAGAAAGGTTCAGTAATCTGACAGTTCCAAACAGCCACAAAGAGAGAACTGCCAGATTTGCCCCTACCCCCCCCCCTCCCCCCCTCCACTTCAAAAGGGGCGGACACCGGGCCCCGCACCTTAAAAAATGCTCCGCGGGCCCTGTAAATAGGTGATACCTTTCCCTCTCCACCGTCAGAGCTCTGTTAAGGAATTTAAGCTACAACGGCGGCGACGGCTACGAAAACGTCACTTAAAAAGTGAAGTCGTGATGCTTTAAACTTTGTCGTGCTTATTCCATCTCGTCCAATTCGTCAAATTTTGGCAACTATTTCTGGAGTTAAATGCTAAAACTCAGTATAAAAGGTCAGGAAAAGAAAGTGTGTTCACGTCCTCAGCAAAAAGTGAAATTAGGCATTTTCTCGTCGTAGTCGTGCAGTAACGACAACGAAATCTACAAAAAAACGTGATGCACGTGCAGAGTTGTTGTTATGCCAATCTAAACCTATTGCTTTTTCGCCGTTCTCGTTGATGTCGACGTCGTCGTTGCTTAAAAGCTCACTATTGTCAAATGTCAGGGGCGTAGCGTCCTTCGTCCGTATACTCACATACGCCCGTGCGTACATGTACAGCTAAAATATGGAATAATTATATTTTTATTTCCTGAAAAGGCATTTTTTATTATTAAATTGGGATGACTGATACATTTTTCGCACTATATTGGTGTCAATGTGTTAGTACTTTCTTTATCATTTTATTATCCCATAATTCTGATGACGTCACTGGCTTTTTTTTCCGTAAACACTGTACCTTACCAACAACACTAGAGATGGGCAAAATAAACAACTGAGTGCTAAATTTTCCTGCGTGTTAAATTACTGAAAATGTCCTGAAGAAAACGCTAGAAGTAGCATTTCCGAGACAATAAATTTAAAAATTTTAAGCGGGGAGCATGCCACCAGACCTGCCGACGTTGGACCGGCTTCGACGCTGGAAATTTTCTCTTCCACGTGGGTACACCTACAAAATCTCCCGCTCCGCCCCTGAATGTTACCTAACAAATTCACATAAGGTTTTCCATACGAGCTTACCGTGGTTTGTGCGGACTGTTTGCTACCGCTAGTTGCGGATACAGCAGTCATTATGGCCAGCAGTAACATTAATAAACTTAGCATGATGATCAGCTCGATCAGCTTTCGTGACCCGATCTATCAAAAGCTCCTCAGCTGCCTGCGGAATAGAGGATGATGCACTTTAGCCTGGGGTGAAGGGCGTAGTGCCTCAAAGTACCAACCTCCACAAACATCAGTTATTGTTGCTTAGTGTTCATCGCAATCACCCAGCAGTTTTGTGATCCGAAAATATTTACTTAACTTGAACAAAACAAAGTTGAAATAATAACATTAACTTTTAACCCTTGTTGGAGTATTCTTCAAAAGGGATAGTGCACATGCGTAATACGAAGCCAGGAGAGTGTTAAAATAAATTTTAAATCAACTTAAGTACTTACATTATTTGAACACGCAATTAAAATTTCAGTTTTTACGAAGCAGAAACAGTGCACGTAATCTAGAGTCACTCAATGTGTCGTGATAATGCGCACGTGTTCGTCGTAAGACTTTGATTACTACAATTCGCTACTTTGATTGCTATTACCACATGCAAGTAATTTTCGCTACATACAATAGGCCCCTTCCGAGTTCCAAAAACCCTCACTTCCAAAGTCACTTCCAAAGTCACTTCAGAGGTTTATCTTTTCGCTTATTTTCTCATTTCCCTCGTCGCTGTGGTTGTACTGAGCTCGCTAGTAGCGTTACATCGCACAAAGCATGCAATTCTTGATATGCGACGATTTCGCCTGAAAAACCAACGATTTGCTGGAAACGCGCGCCGAAACCCACGTCCGTGGGTACTCACACATGCCAGAAGCTCAGATGTGTGCATTATTCTGTGCTCTTAGTTAGCTATAGTTTCCTGATGTTAAACAAGGAGGCCATTAACTAAAACGAAGTCCCCCCTAGGTTTAGATTAAGTAAATGTACCTTGGCAGTGTAGCACCTGTGTTCAGCGCACGTAGCTAGTTAAGTGCACCCAGCTAAACTAAAGCAAAAGTGAAACCTATTTCCACAGCCGCAGTGTTGCTTTCTTTTAAAGGATATCACGTCACACCATTTCTTCAATATGAATGGTCAGCATCCCATCAACAAAACGGATGTAGTGTTTCCTTAAAGATCAACCCCTGTTGTCATGGTAATTCAAGTACTAACAAGACAGGCTACGTGACTGTGCACTGGTCTTTACATATCCCGCCATTTTCACGGTACCGCTATCTGAGTTTACTTCATCACTTAGATTAAAATGAATCACGAGAATGCTAGAATTCATAGTTTTCCTCTCCTCAATTAAAATTGAGTTATCCCAGGACAGCCCTTTATTTGCAAGAAAAAACTTAACTTCAGAGAGTCTTGCAGTAAAATGACATATCTGTAATAAGAGGGCTGCTAGTATAAACAGAAAGATGTGCCAGAGTAAATAAAGACCGAATGGAATTAGCATTTAAAATAAAAAATAATACCCTAAGGAGCTAAATGAGCGGTCATTAAGTCAAAAAGCTTACAAATCCAAAAATGACTTTCCCTTGGCCTCCCATGGACTCCAATAATTGAAAGCGTAGGGAGAGGGGCCGTGCTCGAAAGAAATTGGAAATGAGCCCTAATGTGAAGCACAATACCAAACTGGGCGTTGATCAAGGTTTTTTTTTTTAACTCACAAAGCCGTGAACGCCAGAGTATTACTTTAATGTTATTTTGTCCATAAAATTTGTTTACGTTTAAAAAGTGACCTATTTACAAGGCTTAAACATATATATTCAAAAAAGATAAATACGAACGTTTTCAACACGACAGGTCATCATTAGAGTAAGAAAATACCTTCCACTAATTGCACATTTCATATCCTCAGGTAATTCCCGATGTGAAAGGTTTCGCAACGTAGGAGTTAATTTGCCTGTTCAAATCATAGCCACCTGAAGCCTTCAAAGATTCTGAGCTGATGGCCCAAAGATTTGGCCGTGCAGAGCATGCGCTAACAAAAAAGAATGTGAAGTATTCTCGCGGAGGTGACGGACTTCGGGGCTTTAGGTTGTGTTCTTGAAGATTAGCGCTTAGAATTCTTTTCACGGCGGAAAAACTGTTAGCGTTAGATGAAACGTTTCCAACACATATCGATTTACTGTCGTTTTTGTCTCTGGTCGGCAGGTTTTTGCCCTCTGATGCAAGAGCATTATCTTTGACCTCAGTTTTTTGAAGCGTAAACCTTTTTGTTACGGCTGAATAAGGGTTCTAATTTTCTCCAAAGTGCCTTCTGGATGTGAATAACTAAGCAATTTTCTTTACTCCGTGAATGTAATGTTTTTCTGCAGTGTTGTATTACGCTGGGCCCAGCTTTGCAAGATGTTAAATTATCATGCAAGGATAGTGATTTACAGATCCAAAATCATAAGAATGAAGTGCAGCTTAAACTGAAGCTGCTTCAATTATGGAGAAATGCATTGTGACTCAGTAAACTCCAGCTTAATGTTTTTCTATAATGTGAGTCTTTTGACTGGGGAGCGTATTTCCTTCCTTGGTAATTTAAGCCTTTGAATACGCTTAACAGTGTTTTGGTTGTTTTGTTATTGTCACTTTGTGATCAACCTCCTTTTCGCTCAAGGACAAGAGGAGTTAATTATTTGCAATTTTCGCAAGTAAAGTAGCAGATTACAATTAACAAACTTTATCAATATTTTGTTTCTACAGATTGTTAGAACTGTGACAATTCTGACAATTGGCACTGAAAACCTGGGAGCTGCGATATAAGAATAATCATTGCCAAGACTGAGAATTATTACTACTATCTGCATATTATTATTGTTTCCTATAATTAAGATGATTAAAACCTCTTTGCTCTGAAATGTCTCCTGTCTTCTCTTTATATCACATGTCACACTGACCGCGAATATTTAGTCAGACGAACCTGCGCAGAGTATACTTAAAAGCCTACAAAGGAAGCTCTTACGAAAGTGGAAAATCAGTTCTTTTTCTAAATCTACTAACAGTGCGAATTTTTAACTTCCTATTTGAAAAATTTAAGCTACAATCACAAGTTATATTTGATAACGACTCAGTCTGGTTCGGCCGTCGGACGCCATGTTGAACTTAAAACTGTTGCCTCAGTAACATGTCACGTGAACTTGAATCTGAATAGCGAAATCATGATGATTTATAAGTCTGTACAATTTATATTATCAGTTTATTATCAATAAAATTTATTTAATAGAACGATCTCTTTATAACATAAGAGACTAGTTTTGGGAAAGAGCAACTGCGTGAGGTTAATAAAATTCAGTTTATTTCTCAATAACGCCATTAAACAAAACCATTGATGTTTATTCGTTCGCATTAGTGCTGGATTATTTACTAGGAGCTTTTTATCTTCCGCTATTTCTTGAAAGAAAATTACATTTTCGGAACGGAGTAAGGAGATTTGACTAGTCTGCATTTATAACATTTATGGTGTTTTTTGTTTATACAGTTTGGGTTAAAAAAAAGTTGAAATATAATATTCAAAAATACGACAACCTAAGGATAAATGCAGTATTACGTGGATAAAAAAGGATTTCGCCAAATTTGAAATTGCTCAGGTAAATTAAGGCATGGGTTCCCAATGATTCAGTAAAAAAGTGACGGGGGGTGGTCTATCTCTGAGCACGTAAGCAGTAGAAAGATGAGACTTTGCCAGATACATACATGTGTGGTTTCTGTCAATTAGGTGATGTTCAATTATGTAATGGTTGTCACGTGACTCCACACGGTCAGAAAACAATAAAAAGTCTTTAAACAAAAATGGCAACACTTTTTGTTGTGAGTTATTAGACCGGACTGGTTTAGGACAATGTGTAATGCAAGCATCTACAAAACTGTGCTTGGCCTTTTTTGAATTTTTTACCGTTTTAGAAAATAAACGGCTTTTTCAACTAGACCCAGTCCCCCAAAGCAATTGTATCCCATCTTAACACCTTTGATTTTAAATATCTAAAAAAGGCCAAGCACAAAAGTGATACATTAAACGGCATTAACATTATGCAACCGGTAAAATAATTGAAGACACACGAAAAAGTGTTGCCGTTTGAAGAACAAGCTTTTTCAGCCGATGGAGGTCACGTGACCTAATTTGCATAATTTTAAAGCACAAAATTGACACAAACTAAAAATGTGGGTAGCTGGCAAAGTTTTACGTTTCTTCATCTAAAGCTCTTAGATATAGACCACCACCTCACTTTTGAAGAGAGGAAATTAAGGCAAATTGAGGCCCATGCCTTAATTTACCTGAGTGGACAAGGCAATTTACAAATTAAAATAAATCAAAATTGTCTATAAAATCTGTAATTTGCGGCTGCATTAGGCAATTTTGCTTTGGGGTTAACCAGGAGTTAAATACAGAAAATATTTGTGGGAATGGATGAAGCATAGATGAGAGCAAAGAAGAAGAAAAAATGAAGCGTATGGAATCTGGGCTTGAGTAAATTTCATGACTGTATCAGTCGCACTACGGCTTTATCATTCATAATAATCAGTGTATTTCAGATAATTTTTCACACTGGGGATTTGTGTTTTCTGGTTTAGTCTTTTTTAAATTCATTCTTGCGTAACTAGTAGATTAAGTCAGGACCAGAAACCTTGCATTCACTTTAGGAACACTGAACACCCGGTCTTGACAAAGCTTTTAGAGTTTTTAAATAAATTTTTTTATTACAATGTAGGAAGGGACATTAAAATATTTGAATGTTCCACATCATGAGGAAGAAAAAACCTTGCGTGCGATTAATAAAAAGCATTTTGTTACCAATAAAACCGAAGACAATACCGGGCCGTTTGTTGTTGACGAAAAATCAATTACAAGGCGCCGCTATTTATCCATAAAGAAAAATAGTTTCTTTTAGTATGCTGACAGACTTATAAAAGGGATGTGACAACCCATACATTTAGTCTTCATTAGATAACATTTGAGTGAAATAGAGCAAAAAAGGCAAGAGAACTCTGCAAAAAGTTATAAGTCGAACTTCACAGATGAATTTTGATGAATTTGTCAGATTGACAATACCCGTAAGCTATCATCATCACATTGTTGTTGTTGC